AGTTCCACGACAATCTACAGTGCCGTATATTGACGAAAATCCCACTTTTCATGCAGTGAATGGCCCAACCACTAGGCCAAATACTTATTTTGTAAATGCAATTGACTCAAAAACAATGTAGATAGCTGTAATTACATTACCTTTATTCTAAATATGAAATTGGTTTTCCTTGTAAAGTGATTTTGGATGAAGTCTACTGTATTTAATGCTATATGAATCCCCCAGCAGGTTGAAAAGCAGATGAGAATTTCATCCTCATCACGTTATAAACTGTGTCCATTTGAAAAAACCTCTCATCTTCTGCGGGCCACTTCTGGACATTTCTTTAAGCACAATGACAGGCTGAGACACTTAAGTGACATTTTGAAAAGAAACACAGAGCTGAAATATAACAAGTCAGCTTGTGTTCAAGTTGTACCTATTGATCCAGAGCTATCCCCTTTACTTGCAAGATGGTTCTGTGACCACAAAAGTAATTTAAATCAAGTTTTCAAAACTTTAGATTGTCAGAATCTGACATCTGATGTCTGAGTTTCCATCTGATGTTTATAATGGTGTAAAAACTTATCAAAATGCTGTTTCAGTCAGACATAATCCATTCAACTTCAAAGTTTTCCTCTGGAAAGTAAGGCTTTTCCTTTCACCACAATTACATTATGATTCATTTTCTTTGCATCTTGTAAACACTACTGGACACACCTACCAAAAGTCCACTTTCTTTAACCTTTTAAATAATTTTCTAATAAGAACAAATGTAATTAATAAATGTACCTCAATGCTTTTACATGTTAAGTTCTAAATATGCAAGTTCAAATCTGACAGAATGCAAACATGACACCAGATATTCAATGGGGACAGCTGCATTTATTTTGATTTTCCACAATCATAAACAATAATTGCACTGTAAGCAAAAATGCAAATATTTACAAACAAAAATCAATATACACAGAAGAAATATGATACAGGAAAAAAAAAACAGTCCTTCAGAATCATTGCAACAACATAACATCAAAAAAAGGTATCTGTGCTGAATCTTTCATTTTAAACATGTGAAGGGTTCAGGTTAAACTAACACCAGAGGAACATAAGATTCGAAAGCTGCAGCCACACTGTCTCTATGAATTTTTAAGAGATAAACATCAAATGTTTCTCTGTTTGCCTATCCTCTGCAGGGCTTAAGTTCAGTGCATTTTGTAATTGGTACAAACGTAAAAAAAAAAACAAAAAAAAAAAAAACAACCTCTGGGACTCAATCCAAGATGCACATGGAAGATAAATATTGTAGTGTTTGTTTTTCATCTAGACTCCGTCCACAACAGGGTTCATGAGTCACCAAGTATCACAGAACTGAACATAGGAAAAGTGACGGCATGTTCATCAAACGTGATGTTTTAGATCATCAAAGCAGCAAGTTCTGGTTCAGTGTGGGACTTAAAATGCAGGAAAATGAATGAGCGTTTCGTAAGTAGAGCTAGGTCTAATTCGTACGCGTTTCCTGATGTCTTTTAAAGAAACGTCAGCAATGTTTTGAAATAGAATTGTCTAAGTAGATTGTTCTCATTCACATGTTTGTGGAGCTTCTGCAATTTCTGCCACTAGATGTCACCACATCCTGCTTCTACAACCTACTTCCAAACAGATTTAGAGTCCTCATAAGATGGCAGAATGCTCTTTAAGGTCTAGTCTAGTAAAATGATCAACAGCTACAAAACTGTAACCATTTTCACGCAGTGTTTTTCATACTTTGCTGTTTGAATCTTTTAATGACATGCAACCATTGTTTGGCAGGAAATAAAATCAGATTTTTAGAAATTTTTTTATTTTTAGGAATAATAAAAAATTCTGTTTCTGTAATCTTGGCAAAAATATATTCTCTCAGGTTATTTGTAAAAGAATATCAACCAGTTGGAAATGATTTACTTCAGATATTTTCTTTGCAGATCAAAATCCTTGCAGATACATTTTGAAAGGGAAGAGTCATGTAAAAGTAGTTTCCTTCACTCATCTGACCTGTAAGAAGTTCCTTTAAAGAAGCTTGAAAGAGCCCATTAGATATCACTGATTGCTCAATACCAGGACATGGCTCATTTTTAAAAGTTAAACTATAGAGCTGCTCTGCTCCTCTTGTAATTGCTGTTTTTATGTATACCTAAAATAATTTTTGCAGCTTAATCTGGACATTACTGCTAATTTTTGCAACGACTGATTAGTTCTTTTCAGCTTTTCCAAGGTTTCTTTCCGTACCAAAATGATTCTAGTGCTTAAATATTTCTATATTAGAAGCACAAAGCTGGTTCCACCTATGCACCAAGTCCATGCTAAACTTGAAACCAATTTGATCCCACTGTAGCCACTACTAATAAGTTTATCTATACTGCATTTTACATTTACAAAAAATCTCAAGCAGTCAGTGGTATCAGTTTGGTCAAATCCAAAAGATTAATCTGAGCTCCACATTTTCAATTCAGACTAAAAATCTAATTCAAACTAAATGTCAACGTCAAGAGCTGTTAGAAATGCTCCATTTACTTATCAGCCAGGTTTGGCTAATAAATCCAGCATGAAAAAGCGAATGCAACTCGTCTTTGAAGAGCAGCTTCTAGAACTGGGTTTATGTCTGAATTTAGGGATCTTGTTTGAACCAGTTTATAAAACTGTTTTAGGAGAATGCGTGCAGCAGCCGGCTACTAAATGCCGACAGTCTTAAAAATCCTTTACAAAAATATTCTAAAAGGTTTTAAGCATCAGACTGATCAATTTGTGTTTTCAAAAAAATCTCAATCTTCTAAGATCCTTTTCAAAATTCAACAGCAGGGGGATCAAACATGAACCAAGAACAAGAGCCAGTACTGACTCTAGAAGAACTGGGACCACTTTGATAGGAAACAAAACAACAAAAATAGCCCTGATTTTTGGTCTGCTGTGGAAAGAAAATAGTCTGATGTAGTCTGCAGTGTTCTGCTGAACACTTATCCCCACCTAGTGGTCAGGTATTGTTGTTTCAGGTTTTTTTCTTTTAAAATGTTTGTTTCCTTGTCTAAAGTTAGAGGATGTTTTAAATAGAGGGGAAAAAAACCTGCTGCATGAATAGATCTCCACCTGGTTTTGTTTCTGCTTCAGGAATAAAAAAAAGAAAGAAAAGAAAAAAAGGGAAAGCTGATGAGGGCGACCAGTTTAATCAAAGTACGACTTCCAACGGGTGAACAGACACTTATTAAATATAAACTGAATCAGGTGTTATCACTGGAAATGAAGAGGATATTCTTAATCTAAGCAGTGCTGCCTTTGGTGCTAACATGCCTCTTCCCATTCACCTCAAATCACTGTAATTTTCTGTAACTGAGAAAAATTTTTCAAACCTTGAGAGTTGATGTGGAGCTGAAAGCGGCCGTCCCCACCGTCGATCAAAGTCCTGTTGTCCGGCTGCTTAGATCCATTCTCACACAAACACAGAATTGTTCGAGGTGAAGAAAAGAAAACTGTTCATATGTTTGTTCTGCAGACATCGGTGCTGCTCACCCTGATGATTCAGGAAGTAAAAAAAACAAAACAAAAAAAAACTAAGGAAAATATCCCAGAAATCATTGTCGCAGATAGCAGCTAGTTTAATGATAAGTCTTTCCACAAAATAATAAAACCATTTCGGTGCCTTCCGACGAGGAAAAAATGGTCAAATAAATTACCCTAACACAGACGGACAGATGTTGTCTCAGTTTATTCAGCCCAGCAGCAGCCCTGACAGGGCGTTCAGGTCTCTCATGTACGGGTTGTCGCTGAGGATTCGGTCGATTCGCTGCTTCTGGTCAGGAAAGATGTCATACAGCTTCCTCTTCAACTCTGACGTCTCCCCTGGTGAGCGCTGTGGCGGGGGGGATGGGGAGGGCGAGGAAGGGCGGCGGGGCGGATGCCATTCCGGAGGGCCAGAATGGGGCCAGTGTGCAGTGGGGTGAGCTGTCATGGTGGCGGGGGTCCGAAAAGTCTGGACGGTAACGGGCTGCTGCTGTGATGTGGCCCGGGGGTCTGCAGGCTGGAGAGGCGGGGGGGAACCTGGAGCCCTCCTGGTGGGAGAAGAAGAAACAGGATTTCTGATGTTATCTTCCCGTTTTGCAGAAAGAAAGACAGATATCAACTCCAGCTGATCAAACAGCTCACCTGTTATCCTTCCTCAGGAAGTCGTCCAGGTGGGGTCCGTCTTTTCCCAGCGGGTCGTCAGGAATCATGAAGTGATCCTCAACAAAGGTAAACTGAAGCAACCTGTCAGGACACAAGAAGTGGAGTTTAAAAACACAGGATTCCCGCAGTCATTCATAAGGTGTAATAACTCCACAGCATCATTTCACACTCTAGAAATATCACAGCGCTGCACAGACCGCTTCCAAACAGCATTTCATAGCACTAAAGAAGATTAGCAGTTTTATTAGCTTGTTGAGCTGAAACTCAGTTTTCCTCTGATGATGGAGATCTCCTCCAGCCAAAACACATCATGGAGACTTTAGCCTAAATATAGTTGTACGGTTATTGGCACAAGATGAACCTTCTCCATAATCTTCCCCTCCAGTAAAATCCTGTTTAAATGGGACACAACAAGGTACAATATCTCTGTTCTGTTTCAGTAAATATGCGACTCATCTGATCACAGCTACTTCTAAAAAATGAATAGAGACCAAAGTGACTCAAGCTGGAAAAAAAAACATTAGATAAGTAAAAAACTAAACAAAGTTAGAGGGGTGGTAGATGGATAGATAGGTAACTAACTGTGAAATTAACGAATCAACCAACTATAACTAACTATATACATACATAGCTGAAGAAGTGTCTAAGTATGACCCAAAGAAAAGGAATTTTGCTGCTTAAAGGTACAGTGCTTTATAATTACACCGATATAAATGGTATACATCTATATGTATGTTATTTATTATCACCTATGAACTGAAAGTATCAATCTTCATGTTTGTCTTTCTAAGAAGTTGTTAATAATTACATAGCAGTGGGTTTGTATTTGTGGAGGCAGACATCTCTTGGCTAGGCCTGCACAGAGCTAACAGACTAATGACTAGAGATTATGCTCAAATGGGACTGAGGCAAGTTAGGCCTAAATACAATCCTACACAAAATACTATTTACCAAATTATCTAAGTAAAACAGACTTAGACCAGCTACCGCCTGGTTATTATGAGACGACCAATTTAAATCGTCGACAGTTTCATTTTAATATTTTTTCTGATCGGACTTGCATTTTTTTCTTGCCCTCGGTCCATGTTTGTTTTAGTCAGAGTGCCCAAAACAGGTGGACGAATCACCCAGGCAACAGAGGAAAGGCGAGACTGCATTTCTGAGCTCAGGCGGGAGCAGCAGGCAATCAGTGTAATAACAGCGGCTCAGAGAGCTCCATAACTGAAAGAGCTGCCCCAGCTATGCCTCCTCTGGGGCTGAGACACCACAGATGGTGCAGCTAGCCGCTGATAGCTCAGGAAGAGAGCGAAGGAGCAGAGAAGGGCCTGCTGGGAAACAGCGCTGATGGAGGAGGAGCCTACAGCTGGCCCATGCTAGCTAGAGGCCTTGGAGGATCGAAGTAGAACAGCGGAAGATCGGATTAGCCCGCTGGGCGGATAGGGGTCTGAAGGCAGGGTGGAGGGTTGAGTTTTACCGTGAGGAGGACAATGAGACAACGAAGGAAGCGACGACGGCAGGCCAAGGCTAAGCTCTGGAGGCTAACTGTTGGAGATAAAAAGAGGGCTGCTGAGGATCAGAGGAACCGGCAGCCGTAATGAGCGTTGGAGCAGGATGAGAGAATGGATCTGCTGCTCCGTGTCTTTGCTGAAGGTAGAATAGCTTTTTTTAAAAGCCACTCACAAACTTCTTTAGAGCATTCTCCCCTTTCTCCTTGGTCAATATTATTCCATTTTGATTTTAAAACCCATTAGTCTGACTATTAGACATTGCTGAATATGATACACTGTAGCTTTAAGAAACAAAGAAAGCAAACAAGAAACTAGTGTGAAGGCTAAATATTGAAGTATCAAAGTCATGGACAACTATGTACTCACGTCAACAAGTAAAAATATTAATGTTAAAAATAAATTAAATTACCTAACAAAATAAACAACTAAACATCTGAAATATAATGTATCTAAATTAGTAACTCTGTAATTAACCAAGCAGCAAATCAAGAGTCTTAGCAACATGCATAAAAGCAACTAAAAAACAATAACCAATAGACTAACTTACCAAGCAGTAATCTAAGTAACAAAGTAATTACAGTAACAGTTACCAAATAAGTACCTAAACAGAAAAAAATGTTGGGAAGTTATTAAGAAGTAGCAAAAAAGTCCAGCTTCACTATTATCAGTTTTATTTGCTTGTTATGGAAAACACAAATTAATTTAATTCTGAACAAATACCCATTACAGGGCACCAAAAAAGAAAAACACTGGAAGAAATAAAGGAACAGAACTAAATCACTTTTAAGAACACTGGGATGTATAGATTAAAGTATAATAGTGAAATTCATTTTAATAAAAAAACGAACCCAAAAACAAGCGATCAGTGTGAGCGATCAGTTTGCTTTTTTTTTTTTACTTTAGTTTAAACAAACAATAAATCTTTATCCAGCAGCTTCATTGCTGGGTTTTCCAGCATATTGCTGGGTGATTCACCAGGTCAGCTTCTGACAAACCGAGCTCTGTAAACATCCCCAAATAATCACCTCTCTTGAATGATGCGACGCCATGTGTCCGAGGTGTCGACAAAGTCCCGCAGGTTGTCGTTGGTGACGATTATCCCGTCTGTTTTCTCAGCAAGATGCAGCAGGAACCTGATGGGAGGAAAAAAGGAGACAGGATGTGTTTGGATTAGACACTTAGGTTTTTCCCAGCGCACAAAGACCGGAGGGGAAACCTGAAGAGCTGAGTAAGGATAATTTTTCAGTCCCAAGACGTTTACGACCCAGTCCAGTTTTTTTTTAGGAATTTCCTAAAACTTTCCTAAAGATTGGCATAAAACAGATATTCAACAAAAAGAGGATGCTCTGTTTTATTTAAAGATTGTTTAAAGGTTTAATTTTAAACAGTTTTGTCCTTCCTAATTAACAAAGAAAATAGCAGCTCCTTTAACATCTCATTTCATCTCAGAAAGACTGCCGTTACCTGTCGTCATGTGAAGATATTCTCTGGCCACAGACTTCTCTGGATGGGGTGAAGGAGAGCAGCCGCAGGTCTTCCAGCTGGTTTAGGAAGTGTTGTTCTAGAAAAAAATAATATATAGAAATTTAAGATAGCTGGACCCAAATGCCTGGTCAAAACTGTTGATCTGGGTTCTAGAGTATCTGATATATTTCCTTGCATTATGCTTTGTCATTCCTGGCTGTTGTTTTTTGTTTGTTTTTTTTAAGTGCAAAGCTTTCTAAAATTTTGAATTTTAAAATAATTGTACATTTTTATGATTTAATGGAAAATAATTTTAACTACATAAAGAGTAAATTAGCTTACAAGGAATAAACCTTTATGTAAAGCCCTTGTCACGCCTTGACGATTTAGCCAGCGTATGTCTGACGTCCAAGAATCTCCTAAAACGCTGGCATACGCTGAACTTTCTATGTATTTTTTCAATTTTGGGCGTATGCATAGAGTATTCATTATGAGTCCAGAGTGTATGTCCAACAATAGCCTAACTTATGCATGACATGCGGCAGCGCAACACCCAGGAAATGTCGCAAATCAGTGTCATGAGGCGGGCAGCAATGCACCTAAAGGCGCCAAGCCTACATAAATATATTTCTTTGATCGGGATATTAACCTAGCTGCTATTTACCGCCCGACAAAAAAAAATAAAATAAAAAAGAATAAGTAAATCAAAAGAAAAAGAAAGAAAGAGGATCCATCACACTCGCCTTCTCACCCTAAGAGGGGGGTGAAATGTGGAGTACTGATGGTTTCCTCCTGTGAAACCCCTTTCATACCAAAACGCTGCCAATACACCATTAAACAGTAGCTGTAAGTTAGCAACAGGCTCATTGGTTGTCTGTAACACATCAAATATGTTGATGTGCGTTGGGGATAAGTTCTTGATAAGTTACAAATAAGTTATGCATAAGTTACTCATAGGTTTCGGATGAACTAGACGCCACGACATAAGTAACTTAAACCTAACGTATGTCAACGATAAAATAAATTACCTATGACGAACTTGGCGTATGTCGACATGTGCTAGCGTGCTCATCACTTATACCAAACTGATCCATAACTTATCCAATGTATGTCAGCGTTTTTGCCAGATTTTTCGTCCGTCAGGCATACGCTATCTAACCGTATCTAATTGTTAAGGTGTGACAGAGACTTAAGAAAACTCTAAAGAAAATCAACAAAAAATGCCTTGTCTTTAAAATTATTTAGCATTATAAGAGGTCAAGCCTGTGCAGATCTCATCCAAACCATTCCACATTACTCAGATCAAAACTGAACAGTTTTACTTTAGTTATAAATAAGTCAATGGATTCTTTGATTATGATATTAATTCACAAAAACAAACTGCAAGGCCAACCGAGGAGGAAACTAAAGAATATCCAGAAAGTCTTAAAATGAAGCTGCTTTATTCTCTAATCTGCTTTGAAATGATTGTGGAGGACTGACCCCAGTCTTCTCTCCAACGTTGCTTCTGTTTGTGAAGGCTCTATGTTACTGAGGCCTGAACTTTGACTGCGCAAGTACAACAGCTTTACTTCCTTTTTCAGTCATTATGATAATTTCCCCCTTTCTGCCAGACAAACATTTGATCTAGAATACTTGGCTATTAAGACCAGTTTATGATCTGTAACACAGCCAGGGACTGTGGCCAAGATTATCACTATATCACCAAGATGAATGAGACATTTTGCCCCTCAAGAAGACAAAACACTTCTGCTACAACTGTTCCCAAAAAAAGTGATCAGATTGTTTTTTTCCAACTGGACTATGTTTAACTCTGTAAATGTGACTCCTTGTGATATAGGGCATTATTGTGAGCACTGCCTATCCTCAGCCTGGGATGGATTTGATGGCACATTCGGTAAAAAAATATTGTTTTCTCTAAAGAAAGTTGGACTTAAGATGTATGTTGATGTTTTACAAACTTATCAAACCAATATGTATTAATTGCTTTCTAGATTTGTCATTATTTCAAACATCTGTATGCTTCACAGCAACGTCTACCATGAATCCTACTTTAACAGACACGCTTACTGTTGATAATCAGTACATTTTCATCAACAGAACAGAGGTCTTGGATAGGTCTTAGGCGTTAAACCCTATGGCAGCAGCTAACATGGTCTTCATTATAGAGCAGCTTTACCTGTAGCAAGTCGGTCTCTCTTCTGACGCCACTGCGGGACAAACACTGTGATCTCCCTGTGGCCCCTCCTCCAGAAGGTCTCCACAGCCAGAGCGATGCCACGGCATGAGAAAAACCGATGAAGACCATGACTAAAGAGTTGAAGGAGAAATAAAGGATAAATTGTATTGAGAGGTTTCTGATTTCAAGCTTTAAAACAATGCAAACTACTGCAAAGCAGCAGAGGAACATTTCTATCCATTTATTTGTGCAGAGGTGGCACTAATATTTGACATAAAAAATAAAAAAATAAAAAACATTGAAAACTGGGAAAAGCCATAATTTAACTGTGGAAAATAAGAATCTATCTCTGCTGTGCAGAAATTCAGCCTGAGACTCGATGCATAAGCATCTGTGACTGTGATGCAATCAGAAACAACACGCTGGAACTTTTTATAGATTAGCAGCAACTTCAAAGAAAACAGTGTTTATATTAGTATGATCAAAACTTCCAGACACACCATGCAAAGCATCAGCTTACACACAAAGTTGGTAGTGACGTGCAAAAACTGCAAGCGCACGTCACACAGCTCAAATAGGACCTGGTGGTAGGTAAGGGCAACCAAACCGCAACATAAACAACAAACAGCAGCAGAGATGAGAAACTCCCCGAGAGCAGGAAGCTGCAGAAAGACCTCCCAACTAGAAACTTTATCATGGTACAAAGATCTCTAAGTGTTCTGATGCACAACGCAGAATCTATTTTCATCCAGGTGCTGTTTGTCAGCTCTGCATCCAAACCACTAAACCGGTACGTGTCTGGGATTTTTTTTGAAGGTTAAAAATAGCAAAAGCATAAAATTTCTACCACTACTTATCCAGCAGCTGACGACATGAAAACAACAAAAACACGTTTCATATTCAGAACTTTCCTTTGAAAATGTCATTTTGCAAATATGTATCTTTCCAATTCAAAGAGCAAATAATAAATTATGACTAAAACTGAAAAAAGGTTTGATATAAGAAAAGAAAAAAAAAAAAAAAAGAAAAGAAAATTTGAAAAACTAACAATTAACTCAAATTAATAATTTTTTTAAAAATGTTTTCAGACTGAAAACATTTGCTCAAGTTTTACAAAGTAAGAAGCATTCGGTCCGCTTTGCAGATCGAGGCCTTCCGACTTCATCCTTGTCCATAAATATGGAGAATCAGGCAACTAAAAATAAACAAGGCACCTAGTTTAAAGAACTTGGGGCTCTTCTGTTTTTCCCATCATCCTACCAGACATTACATTCAGTGATAGAAAAACTGCTTAAACCATCCCTTCTTACTGGTCTTATGATTTGATATGCAAGAGTTGCACTGGAGAAGCCAAAGAGCCACAGGTTGCAGATCTTTGGTGTATAAAGAGACGGCAGAATCCATAACAGCAAAGTTTGAGAAAAAGGGTTCAGATAATCCAGTGAACCAATTCCCTCCAGACTTCTAATGTATCAACAGCCTCAACCTGTGCTTAATCTGAGCATAAATCGAACAGTGTGATGTATGCTTATTGAAGAACTACCAGTATTCATGAAGACCAAGGAACACAACAGACAGGTGAGGAAGAACCAAAGCCATATTTGGTCCTAAAACTTAAAAAAAAAATCTTTAAATCAAGATAAAACATATGTGTTTAGTGTCCTTTGACTGTGCTATCTAAATATTAATACATGTTTTTTTCTTTTAATTATATTTTCAATCATAACACCAGCTGTTTATACAGGGTATTAATCAATTTGAATTCTCTTTAATCATTTGCGTTCACTGTTGTTTATACTTTTTTCAATAATGTTTCCTTTTTTTTATTTTTATTTTTTTATTTATTTATTTTTTAAGTAGAGCAGTTTGGATTATCTTGCCACTGAAATGTGCGATAAAGACAAACCTGCCTGAATCCAACATCTGAAAATGGAGAAAAGATAGACCACCTGCAGACCTATCAAAGCATGGAAGTCATTCTAAACTGACAGGCCGGAAAAGGAGAGCATTAAGAGGAGAGAAGCCAAGAGGCTCCGAGTAATTCTGGAGAGATTTATAACTCGGGTAAAAAAAATGCCAAACAAGAAAACTTTGAATTCGACAATCTGCCGGTCTGGCTGGATGTGTGTGTATTTATATGGACATAGACAAGTCTGTCTGAGTGGATTTTAGATTTTTTACATCTTAAATTGCTAATGGGTTAGGAGCCAGTAAGAATTGCAATTCTTTCTACTATATTTTTTCAAATATAAAAATATATATCAATATAAAAAAATAGTTGTTATTGTGGAAAAGCTGCTGCAAAATGCAGCTGCAAACTATGTGTTCACAAAGTGCTGATGTAGGGGGCTGAGTAAAAATAAAATCTTAATCAAATATATGGAGGTTTGTCATTGCATGTCACACTTTAGTTTTTGTAGGAACTGAATGAAAATTATCTCCAAGTACCATATGTGCTTGTTCTTTCTGGGTTACTATCACATTGGAGATCTAGACTCACGTGGCTGCGGTTATTACAGAGACGCATGAAGGCAGCCTGAGCAGGTTGGAGTTTACAGAACATTGATGCAACTCAGAATATTTAGCAGGCTGACGTTATGTGGCCAAAATTTAAAACCAAAAGAAGGTTTTTGGGGACTAGCGGAGCAAACAATTATACTGTGAGTACGTTGCAGTTACAGCAGGGACTGGCACTTAAATGCTGCACGTCACTGCAACTTTTGTAATCATAAACTCAATAGAAAATTTCCCGCATCAAATCTGACGAAACTGTTGCTGAGACTCAAGTGTCTGACCTGAATTCATGATACTAATCTGGGGAAAAATGATAGACCTGTTTCACTTTCTCTGGTGTTTGTAACTCATTATAAACAGCTTAGAGTATAAACACGGTGCATTCAGAGGAAGATATTTCTCAGCTAAGGGTCAATATATGCAAACACTGGGGAAGTTCCCACAGCTGTTGAAAGAGAAAGTGATGAATGGCAGGAGAGGCGGGTAGATTATGCACCAGTCACCAAACTCTCTGTTAAAGCTAAAGAAGAGGGAAAATGGCTCCAAGTAATTTTGAAAACTTTAACCACTTACCACCCCGTTTATACCGCACGCCTACAAACAGTTTTTCAATCACTACCAGCTTTATGGACTTATTTTCCTTTTCTTTTAAAAATAAAAATAAAAAAAAAAGTCTACAAGACACCATAAAACAAAATAACTTTTTTGTAATCATAATATGAAAATATTTTTATTTCCTATTAAAGTTGTCCCGTGGTTGTGGGCTCCTTTTGTTTGTAATAATCCACTTAATAGATTTATTCAAATTTATTTTTCCATAATGTAAAAGAATAAACTCCTCATGGGGGTTTAATCCATCAAAACCTGTCTTTTTTCTCTCAAAAAGTCTGAAATTAGAACTTTAAAGCATTTTCTGGCGAAAATCCACTGGATTTTCCTATGGCCATGGTGGAATTGCTGGTTTTCAGCTCTATGTTAGCTCGCTGTAACAACAAACCAAGAGTTTCTCAGTGAAACGAGGTGTCCTGTGGGTCGCCTAAGTGAAACAAACAGGTTATCTCACAATCCTAGCGGCACATTTTCCTTCTTAAATTAAATCACACATGCATGCTGTGATGGAAGCCAAACCAATAGGAATCACATGGTGGTATATTAATTTCAGATAGAGAAACAAACTGAACTTTAAACTGCTGTGGTTTAAGCCGTTCATTTTGAGATGTTTATTACCCAAAGCTTGAAAGCCTGCACGTTAAAATGCATCCGGTTGCAAGAATGTGGGATTTAAGATGTATTTTTAATAGGACTTGCCATTTGGGTATGTCCGGCTTTTGTGCATAAGCTAAAATTAGGCAGGTGGTTAAGAGGTTGGATAGATTTTTCTTTTTTTGTGTGCCAGTCCAAATTCACTGCTTTGTACCAATTTCCTTCAGGAACCTTAGGACATTTTACTTCATAAAAAAGAAATGCTATAAAATATTATTTAAACATGAACTCTTTATAATTTAGAATCTATTTCATACAGATCTATCTAAAATGTTAATTTACAAAATATCCATTAATCACTGCTAATCGTTTTAGAGTAGAACAGGTAGAGTGGTTACTTAAGGTAATAATTCAATTAGGTTTGAAACAGTCATTTTGAATACTATAGCCACTTACCACCCCGTTTATACCGCATGCCTACAAACAGTTTTTCAATCACTACCAGCTTTATGGACTTATTTTCCTCTTCTTTTAAAAATAAAAAAAATGAGCTACTGCTAATTTTCCATATGAACATTAGGAGGCCTTCAAAGAATTATTATTCAAAAAAGCAGTGGTTCTCATGTGAAGCTCCCAGTGTGATTGCTGGTTGACATTTGTTCAACTAATTAGAAATTGATTGAATAAATTACCAATTTGTAGAGGTATTTTTAAAAAAGGAATTTTAAATTCTGTTACATTGTTAAATAAACTGTTGTAAATAATAAAATCACACTTTTAAGGATGTAGGTTTTAGTTAAAGTAAACTTTCTGATAAATCACAGGTGGGTGCAGTAAGAACAGTTTGGGAACAAGTGTTTTAAAGTATATTTTAAAAAAAAGCTACAACAATAGACTGGACTTATGTAGATACTGCTACACAGAAAACAGACAGATGAGTGGATGGAAGGAGAGTTGGATGGAATAACTGTAGATGGAAGGACATAAAGGCAGTTCGGCGACAGAACGGATAAATAAACTGGAAAAAAACGGAGTATTATTGGATGGCTGGAACTTCAGTGATCTGTGACTCTCTGCTCTAACACATTGTATTTGTTTAGCGGTATCACTTCTTCAACATGTTTTCATGCTCTGAAAGAGCCTTCTGATGGCAGGGTTCTCACCAGGATTTTTTATGAAGGTAGTAGGGGTGGAGGGTTGGGAATAATTGTATTGTAATTCTATAATTTTAAACTTAACAGCCATCACTGCTAAAATGCATTGTGTACGAAGCTCAGATGTCAGTCAAAAGTCCATTACAATCGTAGAAAATGAGCCTAATGGACGATAACCCTGGCTGGTGCAGGTGAGCTGGAGCAGCGGACATCTAAACCATGTAGGACACAGTCTGTTAGTCTGCAGTTGTCTGGTTAAA